CTGAATAAATTGATATTACATTCGATACAATTTATAGAAGTAATATAATATTTTCATTTTAATGCAGTATTAACGCTTGTTATCGAAAAGCACTATATAGGAAAGGAACTCCGAGGATTAATTTATACATTAATAATGCGGATTTTTGGATTTTGAATATTGTTACACGAATTTGTTTAAGTAGTTACGAAAGTACGAGTACTGTTGAATGCTAATATTTATTTAACTTTTTAAACAATACCCCCACTACTTTCACTGGGTTTTTACACAATTTATCCTGTATCATGGAGTAAAAACTCTTATTTTTGATTATAATTGTGGAGTGAAAAGCAAACAAGTAAGCAGTCAATGTGAAAGTAAATGAATATTTTAATTAATAGAATAAGGCGTTACTTCGATAAAATCCATTATAACAGTGTTGGTAAAAATTACTTTGCGTACATCCGCCGTGTGCCATTAGGGAAGATCGAATAATCCTATTCTTGTTGAGGTTTCACAAGGCACGGCAAATTGTACATGTCGAGTGACGTGCAGTTTCATGGTAACTTCGAAGAGAAGGCCTCTAAAAAGCTTGGCGTGCTCAGCAGGGCGAGACAGTATTTCATGCCAGCACACCGCCTGCAACTTTACTAGGCGCAGGTTCGGCCTCACATGGAATACTGTTTCCATCTCTGAGCTGGGGCTCCCCAGTGCCAGCTCCTTCTACTTGACCGCATCTAGCAGTCTGTAGAAGAATAAAACTGCTCACATCTTCGATGACCGACTCCTTTCCGGCTCGATTCAGTGGCGCTGCGAAGAGTTGTTGCATCCTTTTGCATTTTCTTTCGCATCTACCACGGGGAGTGCTCTGAGGATGAAAATTGTTCGGATTGACCCCAGCCGTCATATTTCATAATCATTATTTTTATTTTTATTAAAATTAGACTAGTCTATTAAGACACTGGCCAAGTTCGAGTCAAGCCTTGCTTTGTTAGAGTAGTGTACATATGGAATATGTACAGTACATGTACAATTATTTGCTTAACATATAAATATATTTATAAAAATGTATAGATGACCCCTTTTTCTTCAAACTAGATAAGAGGCATCATTTAATTTTATTATGGGAACTTAGTTAATTTTTAAAAACATTAATATAATGTATTTCCGCAAAGAACGACTGGTTCTATCGTTTACCTGATTTTATTACTATTTGTTTCGTCTCAAACAGAACAATTCAAACGTCAGGAACTTGTTATGTTAAACCGTCATTGATTGAAATATTTATTGTATTCGAAATATCTGCGTAAATCGAACTAAAAATTAATATTAAAAAACTGAAGGTAGCCGGGCTAACTATGATGTCGGGACGTCAAACACCTCAGTCCCCGCCGTGACCATGAGTGCTGTAAAGCACCCAAAACGTCGGGAATTAAAAAAGTTTAAATTAAACGCGATATAATCCGTAAAAATTAGTTGCATTTAATTGTTTTATTAACAATAATTGTGATAGCAAACGAAATTTAGAAATTAAATGTTTTCACTCTTACCACTAATATTATAATTATATTATTTTTTACTGCATTAAAATCATGTAGTAAAGGATAATCAATTTTAAATTCATAATTATAAGTGTAAATGAAAAATAATAAAGAAAAACTAAACTATCACTTACGATGAAGATAAATTTAGAACTATAAATACAGCAATAAATCATTTCTCTAGAAACAATGCCTTTTCTAGTATCCCAAACACGTTTACAGTACAAACAAGCAAAATAAGAGATATGGGATTGCCAATATAAATCGGAAGCCATACTTTTCCTTTCTTTCCTCTGAGTTCGAATCAGAAGTTATTTTCAAAGACGGAGGCGTCGTACAACTTTTATTTTTATTTCTTAAAAAGCGTCAAAACTGCGTTATGATCAAAAAGTTCTCATCTCTGAACCGGGTACCTAGTACCAGATAATTCCACTAAATCACAACGAAGAGCGACTCGAAATCTTAATCGACAACCCAGTTATTTCCGATTAACTTGATCCACTGGCCATGCGAAGAGACATTGCTCTAGCGCCTTTCCTTCATAACCCGCGTTCTGTAGTAATAGTATATTATTTAGAAAGGACATTGCTCTGCGCCCATACATTGTTCGCCCTGGAACCAAGAGCATCGGAAAATTATGTATTTTATTGTTGATCATTAGTAAATTCCTATTTGATCTTATTTTTATAGTGGACTAGCTGCATAATAGATATATTTCAAAAAAAGTATCAGATTTTGAGATTATAATCGAACCACGAATATTACGGTTTTTCATAGATCTGAGTGATTTTTAACAAACTGAAAAACGATGTCCTAAAACATTTAGCTATTTTTAGTACCTATCTAAATAATTAGGCATGCAGTTTTTGTTCTAAAGCCTAAGTGTATGTAAGTGCAACGTATAAATGCATAGAATCTAGTTAACAAACCTGCTTTCTGAGCATTGGTTTTGCAATGAAAGATAATATTTGTATGTATTAATGCAAAAATAAAAATGTATGTTTATAATGGCTGTTAGCATTTAGATATTGTCATTAGCATATACGGTACGGTAAGATACCTAGTACCTAAATATATAAGGATTTAGGCTGTCAGTCACGCCGCTAGACATGCCGTCGAACAGCGAGCGTATCAACCACGGTTTCAACCAAGTATCAACAGCGCGCGCGTGACCAGCATGAATATTATCGACTACTATCTAGTGCATTTGCAAGCGTGTGCGTCTGGACGGCGCTGTTCAAACGCGTGACTATGAAACCAGCCAACTTAGTATCTAATTGGTATTAAAAGTTGTTTTACACCTACGTTAACTTATTATGTTTGAATTAGAAATAAAACACAGATTAATTTCATGTTTATTGTTCATCTTCTAAATTGGAAATTAGAATATTGTTTTAAAACTGTGCAGGGGTGTCGATATTATTTTGATATTTCGTAAAGCTCAAGTACCAAATAATGGTCATAACATGGGTGCGGCAACCGATGGTTCTGCGTACAACGATGCAATTACAGCAATATTGCACGATTGCTTCTCTGTTCATCTTTCAACAATATTGTACGACCAGCAGAGCCGCAATTTACACAAAATACACTTTCCATTGCGTATGCGTAAGTCCGTTATGAATGCTAGGTTATCGTTTGAGCGGAACATAGTTCCGAAAATTACAACAAGATAAGTAGTTCTTGAAAGCAATCAGAGTCCGTAAAAATAGCCAAGTTGAATGTTCAATATATAGTTTTTTTTTGCTGTGGCAACCCTGGGATAAGTTGTAAAAGTAATTAGTCCCGATAAATTTTAATAATTTTAATATTGTAAATTCACCATATCCGCCTCAATTTTATGTTATGGTGAATAATTACTGCCTGTATATTTAAGAAAAATGGTACCTACATAAATATTATAAAAACAATTTGGTGTTGGAACAAAAAGTGACAGGTAACGAACATTGTTTTAAAAATTATTGTAATCCTTATTTCATATCATTCCTTTTATAAATTAAAGATTTATTCTATTACTCGGATTATTACATTCTTTGCGGGTTTCTTTTCGAATTGTTTTAACGATAATTTGATTTGAGACTTGTAAATAGAAAAAAATAAACAACAACAACTTTACATTACCTTACTCTGCTCCTTCTGTTTTCGATCTTTGTTTTCTTTTATTATTAATAATAAATAGTAAAATGAATACTCGCAACGCCAAGACGCGCCAGATGGAGAACCAACTCCAGCTTGCGCTCCAAGAACTGAAGGCGTCCAAGGAGCAGCGTGAACTCTTGCTTAAGGAAAGGGATGATAATGACAGGGAAATATTTTTTTTTATGATAAGGGTAACAAACGAGCACACAGTCCATCTGATGGTAAGTGGTTGCTGCGGCCGATAGACATCTACATCTATCCTCTATTTCAAATCAAAATGTAGATGCGTTGTCACCCGTGAGGACTAAGATGGAATGCCTCATTTCCAGTAAAAAGGGCCTCCGGCCACCTGCACTCACCAAGCGAAACGCAGTGGTAAACCACTACTTCACGCTGGTTTTCTGTAAGGTCGTGGTACCACCCCGGTTCAAGCCGGCCCATCCGTGCGACAGCAAAAGCTGCCGCATGGCTCTACCACTGTTAAAATAAATAAAATAGTTAGCATAATTGCCAAAAATACACAATTGAAATGTGATATGGTTAAGTTACATACAGAATACACAAGTGTTATAAAAGAAAGAGATCAGCTACAGGGAACGGTTAATGAGTTTGACCAATGCAGGAAGGAGTATGAGGAAGCTCTCAGGTTAATTGCTGCATTGAAGTTACAGTTGAATGAGGCTAATGAGCAAATAACACAATTTAAAACATATATAGATAACCTTAAAGCCTACCAGACTCAAAGCCTGTTCTCTGAACCTTTATTCTTAGAACCAACACGTATTGCTGGGATCAATTATTTTATATGATCAAACGAACTTCTCCAAGTGAAGTTCGATCAGTATTATATGAATCGCTTCGTTCGAAGATATAATATTAACAACGTAGTTTCCTTATTCTACAAGGCTAAGTCGCACCTTTAAAGATTTTTACTCTACCCCCATTAAAGAAGTTGTCCCTTCCCACTAACGCCTCTCGCCGTCCGAGCGTACTGCCTCATTCTTTTAGAGATATTATTCTAAGCAAAACTTTTTGTGGGTTATGGGTGGGAGGGAAATTATATCTTCGAATGAAGCGATTCATATAATATTGATCGAACTTCACTTGGAGAAGTTCGTTTGATCATATATTATATTTCATCGCTTCATTCTTCAGATATAATATTAACAACGTAGATGTTTAGAGCTTAAAGTTTTGCTTATTGGGTAACTTATGTTTACGTTAAGCAACAAAAAGAAATCATAAACAATCAAATATCATTTATTAGTTCAATCGTAACAAAATAACGTACAATTATTCACTTGTCTAACTATCTTATTTAATACATCAAATAGTTTTAATTTAATTATTTAAAAGGACAGTTCTTGCAAACTTATTTCCGTCAATAATTTGGCGATGATAAAACTTTGCAAAGGTCTCTGATGCCGACGACCATCCGGCTGTTTTTCTGATCGTATCTAGGGACACCCCAGCGGACCTAGCAGCTGAGGTGACAGCATGGCGCGTACTGTGTGCACTAAACACAGTCACGTCCACGCCGCTCTCCGCTAACACGTTCTTAATCCACCTACTGATAGATTGAGCAGTGGCCGCCTTGTGTGGCCGCCTGTATGTTAGCAATAAGTTCCGACAACCTGCGGGTCTGATTTTATTTGTAATTTCTAAGTAATCTTTTATTGCCGTGGCTGGACAAATATTTATATTTTCTATAAAGTAAGGTAAAATTAGAAGGGGTTGCTGACGACCCGCTGCAGACGTTTTTATTATGTCAGTGATGCTGATTCTAACATCTGAAGAACATATCTTAATATTGTCTATCTTTATTAAAGACAATGTTTGAGCTCGGTGTGCTGTGCATAATGCCATTAATACTGCTAATTTTTTTGTGAGTTTTTCAATTGAAAGTGTTTCATTGGGAACCCAATCTCCAATATGATTTAAGACAATTTTTGGATCCCAAGTACCAGTATATTTTGGAAGGGCTGGTCTTAACTTGTATGCGCCCTTTAGGAATCTTTTTATTTGTTCTTTAGAACCTACACAGTCTCCTAGAAGTAATGACAAAGCCGATCTATGGTTATTGAGCGAACCGTAAGCGGCCCCATTATTAAACTGCTCTGATAAAAATAGCAAAATTGACGGTACAGAACTTGCGTAAGGATCTAAATTATTTTTATGACAAAATTGCCACCACAGCTTATACGAGACGCTATACTGAAGTGTAGTATTCTTTGAAAGCGATGCCATCATCACGTTAAGAGCGGCTGATGGTGTACCTCTTCTTATAAATGCGACCCTGAGAGCCTCGCTGCACCCAGGGTAAGTTGTTTGTGCAGGTGATGAGGAGTTCTGGAAGAAGACCGTAAGAGATTTTTGTGAGGTTTGAAAAACAGTATATCTGAACTGAGTAAGTTATTTAACATTGGGTACCAAGGCTGGGATGGCCAATAAGGAAAGACCAAAATACCTTCGGCTTTATCGCTTGTGATTTTTTCCAGACATTTGATTATTAAAGAAAAAGGTGGAAACGCATAGAAATATTTGTTTTTCCAATCAATAGTGAAAGCATCTACTAATAAGGCATCTGGATCCGGTCTCCAAGACACATAGGTTCTGCACTTAGCATTAGCACGAGAAGCGAAAAGATCTATTTCTGGTTCCCCCAATTTTTGTACGATCTCCTTATAAGCGTTATCGCTTAGCTCCCATTCTGTATCTAGGTTTAGTTTCCTTGATTCTTGGTCTGCTTCGAAATTTTCTTTACTATTTATGTAAGATGCGTGTAGCCAAATGTTTCGCTTCTCGCACCATTGCCATATTGATCGAGATAACTCGTTCAAATGGGGGAATTGAATTCCTCCCATTCGATTGATATAACTTATAGCTGTTGTATTATCTACGCGCAATAAAATATTACAATCCGACATATCCCTAACAAAACATTTAATACCTAGAAATATGGCTAGTAATTCTAGGTAATTGATATGATACTCGAGTTCATTATATTTCCATCCTCCACCAACACGAATATTGTTACAACAAGCACCCCAACCTGTCAAGCACGCGTCTGTAAATATCTCATAATTATATTTAGTTATTCTAAATGAAGTTTTGGTTGAAAATACATTTTTTCTCCACCACTGCAAATCTGGTAAGATATCTTTTGAAAGTTGTATATTTTTATTGTACGTCTTATATTTTTAAATCGCAAGGTATTTTTGTCTTTCTAGTAGTTTAGTGTACAACCAGCCATATTTTACCCCAGGACAGGCGGCCGTCAGGACACCTATCAAATGAGCGAAATCTCTAATCGAACAACTAGTTAAGCAAGAGAACCTTTGTACTAAGTGGGCTATATGATTTTGTTTGTCTATGGGTAGACTTATAGAAAGTTCCGTGGAATCAAAAATAAATCCCAAATATTTGCAAGATATATGTGGGCCTAGACAGGACTTATTATAATTAATAACAAAACCTAAGCATTGTAAAAGACGCATAGTCTCGTTAACGTTATCCAAACATTCTTTGTAGTCTTTACCTATACAAAGAATATCGTCAAGATATATGACAGACTTATATCCCCTGCTTCTTAAGTTGGTTATTACCTCTTTCATTATCTTACTAAATGTTCTAGGAGCAATGGACAGGCCATACGGCATGGCATTAAATTCATAAAGGGTTTTAACTAAATTTTCATCTTCAAATTGAAATCTTAAAAATTTGCGATGACTCGACTTAATTGACACTAGTAAGTAAGCCTCCCGTAGGTCAATGGTAGCCATGTAACCATTACGCGGTATTAACTTTGAGGCCGTTCTGTAATCCTCCATTTTAAAGTGAGATTTTTCAATGAATTTATTAAGGGACTTTAAATTCAGAATAAATCTTTTGTCTCCGTTAGGTTTAGGCGCTAAGAAAACTGAGGATATAAACTGGTTATTTGATGGATAACACTTTGATATTGCTCCTAAATCTAATAAATTACTAATAGATATAGAAATGTATTGTTTATCTTTTGCTGACAAAGTTGAATGCGGTAATCTACATTGAGTAATTTGTCTATTAAATGGTATTGTAAAGCCATCTCGAATCCATCTTAAAATAATTTTATTTTTTGTTAATTTTAACCAACAGTCATAAAAATATCGTAATCTTCCCGCATGTACCAGTTTTACTGCTGAACTGGAGCATGGTAAGATTTGTTGTTGCTCCAAGACCTCGTTTGTGGATACACCTGAGAGGGATGATCCCTGCGGGTCCCCGATGACTTCTTTGGCCCTCCCCGCCCCCTCTTGTTCTGGGAGCGGGAAGGGAATCTCCAGTTTCCCTGGTAGCGATTGTCTCTTAAAGACGAACTTGTTGCTAACTGTGATGTGGAAGGTTTAGGGTCTGTTTTCTTAATCTGAAGACCTTGTTTCTCGATGGCTTTTAGCGCCTTAATCTTTTGAGGAAGGTTATTGCCAAAAAGAGTTTCGTCTCTTTCACTCTCATGAATGATTTTAAGAAAACACTTGTCTAATCCGGGTGTCACCAATTTTATTCTGATTTGAGTCTCAGAGTGATGGAGGTCGGATAATATACGGCAAGCATCAGATAAAATTTTTATCGCTTGAACTTTATTGTCTCCGATGAGAAGTAAAGACATAGCTCTATTAACGGCAGTAATACCTAAGCCCAGTTTTTGCTGATCGACCGCTGCAATCTCGGGATTCAGCGTAGGTGCTCTCAAAAGCTTGCAGTTTTCGGGAATTAAGTACGCTTTTAACAAGTTTTGTCTTGTTTCCTTAGTAAGACCCTTACGTAGAAGAGGAAGCCAACGGTGGGCAAGATCCTGGTGAATATTTTCACCGTATTTTTGCTCGTCACTATCCGTATCACCCAAAGCTGACAATAGTTCATGGTCTAATGTAGGAATTGTTTCTTCCTCTTTATCTTCAGTTGTTAACTGAGGATGCTCCTCGGAAGGAATAGATGTTACCATGGTGTCATCGTTTACAACCTTATTACAATCCTCAGCTTCGTTATCTACAACAAGAACTAAATTGTATATTTTGGAGGTAGATAACAAAAAATTGTTATAATAAGAATATAAATTATCACAACTTAAAACTTAGAAACTGGCACTTTAATATATTCGTACATGTGTATTTTAGTTTATATAACCTTCGTGCTAACTCTCGGCTAGCCCCCCGGTTAGGATACCTTCGTACTGACTCGCGGCCAGTCCCCAGGTAAATTTTGTCTTCGTGTTGATTCACGATCAACGCTAAGGTTTTTTGTCTTAACTTATATTTTAAAGGATCACTCAGGTACTAGAAACGAATTACGTAACGGTAACACTTACCAACATTTTCTTCGGCATCGGAAGAATCGGAGTAAACAATAACTCGTTTATATCGTTTCCTTTCTTGTTCTTCCAATTTTTTGATTTTCTTTTGGTAATAACCAATTTTGTCTACAGCACTGCGTTTCGACATTTTACTGTTTTAAGATAATTAAGTAAGGTGTGCACTCTGCCTCGCACGAAAAAGGAATGAGGCAGTACGCTCGGACGGCGAGAGGCGTTAGTGGGAAGGGACAACTTCTTTAATGGGGGTAGAGTAAAAATCTTTAAAGGTGCGACTTAGCCTTGTAGAATAAGGAAACTACGTTGTTAATATTATATCTGAAGAATGAAGCGATGAAATATAACAAACAAACAAATAATTTAAGTTCCGATGACTGTGGACAGTTGGTATCACTACCTTACATATACAAAAAACAGAAAAATGGTAAGTAATCAGAAAGCTACAGTACTATGGTGTCAAGAACACTGCGCTTAAACTTATTATTTCATATTTAAGTAATACAGAAGGTTATTATCAATGGTAAAAATTCTTCCGGGTCACCTGTACTAATGGGTGTACCTCAGGGCTCGATTCTCGGTCCTTTGCTGGTGATACTACCTTGATTTTTGAACTTAAACATCAATCATTTAAATGTGACGAAGTGAACAATGCTATATCAAAATTAGTGCATTGGTTTAACGTTAATAATCTGCATTTGAACGGAAAGAAAACTAATTGTATTAAATTTACAACAACGAATGTTAAACATCTGAATACCAATGTAATTTTAAATGGGGAGGAATTGATCCCTGTTGTATCCACTGTTTTTCTTGGCATCACTCTCGACGTAAAGCTTCAGTGGGGCCCCCATATATCCAAATAGAAAAGTAGACTAAGTTCTGCAGCCTATGCTGTAAAAAAGATTAGAGGTCTCACTAGTGTCGAGACAGCTAGATTAGTTTATTTCAGTTATTTCCATAGCATAATGTCTTATGTGATTTTGCTATGGGGAAATGCGGCTGATTCAGAAACTATTTTTATTTTACAGAAGAGGGCCATTAGAGCTATTTACAACCTAAAACCGAGAGAGTCAGAGATAAATTTAAAGAAATAAATATATTAACTTTGGCCTCTCAGTATATTTACGAAAATTTAATGTATGTTCACAAAACAAAGATAGTTTTAGTAAAAAAAGTGATATACAATCTGTAAACACTAGTAACAAACACAAGCTAGTGATGCCAGTATATCACCTCCACAGAGTCAGTAATTCATTCTTGGGGCATTATTACCACTATTACAACAAGGTCCCGGAAAGTGTACAGGTTCTTTCTATTACCAAGTTTAAATGTTTTATTAAGCTGAAACTGTATAAAAAGTGTGATTATAGTATAAATGAATACATGGTTGATAATAACCCCTGGGAATGCGGTGGTCGTTCCAAGCATTTTTAAAATAAATTTTGTAAATAGTTCGTAATCATTTATATTATAAAATTTATTTAAAAAAAGTCCCGCTGGGTTTCTTGCTGGTTCTTCCCAGGACAGAGGGTTTTTTTTTTCGAACCAGTGGTAAAGTAAGAAATGACTTTCAATAAGAATTACACATGTAATGTTTATTGAATAAAAATTATTCTATTCTATTCTATTCCCGAAACTCACCACAAAACCGATACATTTTCAAAGACAATTACAATTGCAAACGACGCCAACCAATGTAATTTTGACAGAATGAAAGATGACAGTACAAAGTAGGCATGCAAATTTGAAATCGTTTAATCGATTGTTTATAGTAAAATAATCGATTTTCCAGATCGATATAGATCTGAAGAATCCTTGTTCGACGTCGATACAAAAACCTCTCGAATCGGACTTATTCAAGAACTAGCTATATTTCAAACGATTCAAGAAATACTTTTGCATAATTGGAACATCTGTTCCTCGTGATAGACAGAAAAACTGTTCTGTTCTGGGTTCGATTCCAAGGTCGGGCAAATTATTATTGGGTTTTAATAACTTGAGGTTCCCAGTACGGAGTCTGCATTTGTGTCCGGTGTTTGGCAATACGCGCAGCCCCTATTACATTGGACGTATAATATAACAGTACTACACACCTCTACCTACTCCTTCTGGGAAATACAAGCGTGATGTTATGTTTATTAACTCAATGATGTTTCTATACAGTTACTTGTATTTACGGTAAATTATCATCAATAATGTTCTGTGTCTATATTAGGCATATTTGAAAATTTCGCGATTGATAAAAAATAGATCTGTTAGTGCTTGATTTAATCGAGAATCGATTCTAGTATGGTCGATTTGAATCGATTTGGAGATCTTATTTTTTTCATGAGATACTGACAAGTGACAAGTGATCATTTAGTGACATCGAAATAGGAACGCCAAATACGATACGATTTATGAATATTTCCTAAGATTTATTATAGCCATACGTTACAGACAGTATTAAATATATCATCTTTTGTCAGACGATAATATTAATACCATAACAAGTATGACAATATCCTACTTTCAAATTTACGAATATTTTTCTTCAGCATTATTCTAACTACCTATTCAAAATCAATATAAAGAAAAGAATATAAAGAAATGGTAATTTAATATTTTTATTGTAGCTTCTTTTTGCAACTTTACTCGAAATAAATTCAAAATGTAATTCAGATTAAAAAATATACAACAGTTCACTAAAAATCAAACGGCTCCGTGGCGCAGTGGCTTAGCAATGAGTTGCTGCGCTGGGGTGCGCGGGTTCGAACCCCGCACGGAACAAGAATTTGTATGGCCTACAATAATTGTTCCGGGTCTAGATGTTTGTCCTTGTGAAATTTGTGTTTGTAAACTGCCTCCACGATACAGGAGAAAATCCTAATGTGTGTAACGTTTTTTAAAAAAAAAAACAAATAAAAATAAATAAAATTCAAAAATCGATTACAATTTATTGGGCATCCCTAATCATTTTTCGAAACCTCATGACGTTTGGCGAAGATGGCGGCGATTAATGTTATTATTCGAATATAATACTTTTTAATGTTCATTTTTGCACGCAGTTAGTCCATGTTATAAAAGTATTTGCAACTAATATAATAAAATAGAAAATTAATTATCGTGTATGTCCGATGATTTTATTACACAGGGCGATTCTGGACATTGTCCTTTATTAAACAAAGTATTTTTTTTTTATTATGTGCATAATATCCAAATATTTCTATTTTCAGAACCTTCATGCTATGTGATCGTAACATTTAATTAAAAGTATTAAATAACTTACAATTTCAGATTTATAACATTTTTAATGACATCCTTAAAAAAGGTAAGATAGTGTCTTTCATTCCCCAAATAGGGACATATCCCTCACCCTGCCTAGTTTGTTAAAGTGTTGCCACAAAATGTTGAATATGGATATATTTAACTCCGCCATTACCGGTCCCAAGCCCGGATGAGAAAGGAGGAGGGGACGGTTCCGCCGGAGAGAGTGGGTGTATCCGGTGGACTAACACACCCACCTGCGCTAGGACCTGCGCAGTCGAGCGCCGTACGCGAGGATGAAGGAGTCCTGGAGGGTTGAGCCGATCTTCGCTGAGGTATATAGTGGCGAGAGGCAACACGCCCTCTTTGGTCCGGATTTCAAGCTAAACGGTGGCCCTATCTACTAGCCACAGATAGGGAAATGGCCAAGCGCCCGTCAGAGGGTCGCAGGCGAGGGATGTGGAGGCTGCATAGGTTTCCTGAAAAGGATCTGGGTGGTGGTAAAGGCCATGCTGACGGAGCAAGTGAAAGTTCATTCGGGTAGTGGGGATGGGCCTTGTCAGCCCCATCTACCAGCTGGATCGAGTTCCCGATGTCGCGCTGTGAGCCAACTTCGCGTCCCTATATTTTAACGTCTGAAATTCTTTTTTAAAGTAGGGCGTTACCAAAGGTGCGGCCTCCATGGAGGGTAGGAAGCCGGGAGGACGAATTTTTAACACAAAGCCAATGGACAATTTAAGGCCCAGTAAGAAAGAGGTAGAGGTGTCAGAGGTGCTTACCAGAGACACCAAAGAACAAAGGGGAACCGCCATTAAACCGACGGTTCCACCGACAGCACCGTCCAGCGTAGGAGACCCCACCAAGGGGACAACTTCCGCGCTGAACGCTTCCAAAACCAGTTTCAAACCTTAGGAGCTGGACAAGAAAAAAGAGCAAGAGCCCACGAGTAACAAAACTACTGCCGAGCCTCATAGAACGGACTACCTTTTCTCTCCTGCCTGACAAATGGTGAGCCGTAAGGGGAAAGGCAAGGCACCCAAAAAGGTGACTTGCCGACCTGACGGACCTTCAGGAGGGTCTATCCCTGCAGGCAGTATAGGAAAGGCCAAAAAGCAGAATAAGAAGCAACGAAAAAAAGGCCGAAGAGAACGAGCCGCGCTGGCTGCTTCTAAAACTAAAACCAGTGAGGCTGTGAAAGCTACTGCGACTGGGGTGCTTGGGGCTGGAACAAGTAGCCGCGCTGAAGCTGGGAAGGATAAAAATCCAGTCCAAGTGGAAGTCGAGCTATACGATATCCGCCAGGAAACAGCGAGCGGCCAAGCGTCCTTGGAAAAAGGAAAGAGCAGCCAAAAGGATGCTGGAAGAGTCCACCTTGCCGCGAGGAGAGCACAAAAAAGTGCGACTCGAACAGCAACCAAAGGCTGCAAAAACAAACTACGCTTCCGCTGCTAAAGCAGATTTGGGTGTGGCCTTAACGTGTGCGCGTTCAGGTCACATTACGAAGGAAGTAGCAGACGAAATCCTCGTGGCAGTACAGGGGAAAATGATCAGTGAGGCCTGGAGTAGCCAGGACCCTTATGCGTCGGGCCCAGTTTATAGAGGCAAACTCGTTTACACGGAGGGTGTCCTGAAACTGTGGTGCAACGATCAGAAGGCCCTGGATTGGTTGAAGGGGAATATTGCTACCCTCGACCTTAAATCCAACACCTCGTTGACTATAAAGAAATAGTCGGAGATACCACAAGGAGTCAAATGTGGTATCCTTATCCCTGATGCCCAGGGAGCCTGGAAAGACTCACGCGACATTGGTCGTGTGCTGGCGTACGAGAACCGCTGGGTTAACATCAGGGACTGGCTGTTAGTCAAGGCAAGAAAACAGACGGA